GGAAGACTTGTTAGCCTTAATCTTTCTACCCCAGTCTCATGGTAACACCCTTTCTCCAGCTGAGTAAATATCATTAGACAATGTCACATTAGGGTAAATCAGTGATCATTAAATGTATACTTTTATCAAACTGTTGACGTTTGCGAATCAGAATCTTTAATAAGTCTCTTTACAAGAGCTTAAAACAGTCAGTAAAAACAAAGGAAAATACGAAGAGCTTTTTTAAGCTTGAAGGACAACTCAAACAGAGTTTTACCTAGTTACTAACGAGAGCGTGGCTGCAGGGAGGGCTTCCACAGTATGAAAACTCCATAGTACCACTTGCAATTCATAAGATATCAATAGCCATTTAAGCTTTGATTTGAATATATGTTTTCTTAAGTGTTATATCGTGTTATATCTAAAATTCGTTTTCTAATGTAGGACCTTTCCGTAGTATCACTCATTAAGTGAAAATGTCTCCTGGAAGATTGTGGTATTAAATTGTTCCAGGCCTTCTTCAAGCTTAGACAACAAGTTGAGTGAATTTTTAGCCTCAATGGCGAAAAGAATTCTCTGTAATGATACATTTGAAACAAAACTTTTGCCTTGGTTTGTTGAATCAATGCTTGATCAGATTATTTCCTACCTTTTCGTTGGAACTTGTGGTAGATCACAGTATGATGACAAATTACCACTTTCTTCAAGTACTGAGTGAAAACCGCGAAAGCTGCTCTGTGATTTAAACCCCTTCGGCCCCCTGTGATTTATTCCATTACCTAAAGTAGTCTTGGTTTGTGATGTGGATAACAAAGGCATTCCTCTATGTTAGCATCGTCACGTTGACTACAAAAACATAATCGTCTGGGATGCGTCTACTTTTGAACATCCCTCAAACATGGTGCATATTTTATTTCCAAACGGGTGAGATTCCGTTATTCCTATTTCAATGTTTTTTTGCATTTTTGTGACAGAGAAGCTTTCTATTCTCTTTCGCTTCGCTCAGCCGAATAGAAAACAACGCTTATAAATGTATAGAAAATTCTCTCCTTCGGAGTACTCGACTGTACATTGAAATAAGGTGACTTATTGGCTCTTAATGATGTGGCAGTGTTCAGAAACTAATGCATCTTTATGTGTAGCTGCTGTGATTCACCGCACCACTTGTAGCTACTTGTGTGGTGTAAAATTCTTTGTCAGGGCAATAAATGGAAGGCAATTCTTCATTTTAGATCCCTTTGGCAATTTTATTATGACAACTAAAAGAAGCTTTCCAATATTTTTCATGCCTGAAGCGTGTGGAGTGGCCTTCAATATTGAGGATCATGCAACAGACAGTATGATTATGAAATTGATTAGTATTTACAGAGTCAAAATATAAAACTCTAAATTTAATCTAAACAGCACGAATGTTAATTGAAGTAAAAGGAAAAGGTTACATTCAATCAAACGAATAACATTTTGTCAGTTCTCAGTAAATCTGACCATAAATGTCAGTTTTCAGTTAAGTTTTCGGGTATTTGTCAGCTGTCAGTGTTCTTTGGCTAGTTAACCCCATCCAGACCCTACCGCTGTGCCGGCCCACCTTCTCATAGCCCGAAGTGTCTTTGGTCAGCGAGCGCCTTTCACCGTTTTCCGGTAATTCCCGCCGCACCCGTGCTTCTAATTCTCAGTTGTTTGTCTGTGTTGGCGTATTTCGTGAATTGTCGGCTGTATACAAACGTTCATTTTTCGTTTCTCCACGTTTGCCTGTTGGGGATCAATGCAGAAAAGGTAGGCCCTTTGGAACGATTTGCACATGAAGATGAGCGGCAAAAGGGCTCGTAATGATGCAAGTGACAGTTCAATTAAAACAAGAAATGATCTGCCTTGCGATGTAGGCCTACCTAATTATTAGGTAAGCTTATATAAAAGCAAATCATTAGGTAGAGTGGTAATCAACCGGATCTAGTATGCATTGAATAGCGTGCTTAGGAAGGAACAGGCCGGATTTAGGCAGGGACGAAGTACCACCGAGCAGCTTTTTATCCTCAGAAACACACTGCAGCAAGCATGTGAATGGAGGGCACCCCTGTATGCACATTTTATCAATTTCGAAAAGGCGTTTGATTCCATCCACTGAAGTAGCCTATGGAACATTGTGATGGCCTATATGGTATGCCAGAGAAGGTTATAAATGTAGTGAAGTCTATGTATGAAGTATTTGAACGTGCAGTGATGGATGAAGGTGAACTGACAGGCTGGTTTAGAATATCATCTGGAGTGAAGCAGGGCTGTGTCATGTCGGGGTTTCTGTTTCTTCTTGTCTTGTGGATTGGGAGATGAGGAAAACAACAGAGCGGTGAAGAAAAGGCATTAGGTGGGACTTCACACGTGACAATGTGGGACACTGCGGGACTTTGCAGATGACATTGCGCTGTTGGCAAGAAAGATCCAGTTACTGCAGGGTGGTGTTAGGGTGGAGACAAGAAGTTAGAAGAGCAGTATGAAGACTTAGAAAGACCTGGATGAGGACAGTACAGGAAGATCGGCGGCAGGCAGGGTGAATTGACTGGAACACCATGAGAGCGGTAGCACAGTACAGTGGAAACAGAATGTTACGGCCTTATGCGCCTACTGGCATAAAGAGCATTGATAATGATGACCTAATTATTACTACCAAACACTGATACCCTTTTTGACAACCAGGTCCCTGAAAACCAATTGCACAGTTTCTGCTATGCAACTTGGCTTGCAACTTTGCATTGTGGCAATTGTATCAACATAGAAAGTCCTAAATGAGTTTAGGTACGAGTTTTGTTCAGAGGTTTGTTTACCTAGACAATAATCTGATCTTTTAGCTCCTTGCTACTTATGATCCTCATTTTGATGATCTGAAAATGGCCCCCCCCGCCCCCCCCCC